TCGTTGCATTGAGTCTGATCCTTTCCTCCAGATGTGTCAGGCTGTTACCTGTGGGAGTACAGCATTACTCACATGTGTTGTAATCTGGGTGAAACGTTTACAGTTGAAGTAACCCTTGCGTAGGTGACAGTGTGTGTCTGTCTGTGTGTGTGTGTGTGTGTGTGTGTACCACATGAGAGCGGCACTGGGCACTTTTGTTCCACAGCTGTGACTTTAGGCTGCTATTAAGAGTGTGTTCATATCTGCTACAGGCACCAGCGTGCACAGGACTAGTGTTGTCAGAAGTATCAGAAAATAGACAGTAATCGATCAAAACTATATACACATTTGTGCAGGTCTTCATACTAAACAAGTCTCATTCACAGGACAGAAATGAACCTCTGATGATGTTCATCTGTATCAGAACAAATATAAGAGCACACAGACTAGTATACACACATGGACACTATGAACCTACTGCACCACTGAGGATCACACACATATAAGACTATAAGATTTGAATTTTACTAGGTGCACATGTGTCCTCCCACTTAAGTGTATCTCTCAGAGGGGACAAGCAGGTAATACCAAGTTACAAGTCAGATCTGTGGATAGGTAAGTACATTCACAGTAAGAATAATATTTTTCTGCAGCAAAAACATCTGTACTTTCATAAATGTAAGACAAGTTTAATGCTATAATGTGGAATATTACAATCTAAGCAGCATCTCCAAGGCGACTGCACTTTCTGCTGCTTTCCACGAAGGCCAAAGTGATACAGCTGGAACATGTCAGGTAAATAAGCTACTTAGCTTTATATAAATTTGTCTTATTAGAAGAAAACACAAATTTTCAGTTCTCCATAAATAAATTAAAACTATGACAAACTTGACAAACCTGCGATGTGCAATAGTTTCATTAGTGGGATGCACACTGATTGTGCACTGATAATATGAAAGTGGTGTGTGAGTGAGTGATGGTGGTGGTAGGAGAGACCTATGGCGCCACTTGGCATGGCAGCCGTGCTTCTGTCAGTCTGCCCCAGGACAGCTGTGGCTACAATAGTATCTTACCATCACCGGGAGTGGAGAAAAAGAATAATGAATCTATAAAAGTGTCTTTGTGACATATGTCTGTGAAAAGCGCTATATAAATGAAGACTTTCTTACTTACTTACTCTAAATATGATACATGTTACCAGTAGAAGTACGTGTTAACACAGAAGTATGTGTTAATACAGAAGTGTAAAAGCCACTCTTTAAGATTCTATTTAGTAAATGATTATATTCCAAAAGTGAGCTGTGACTCTTGATCTTCAGAAAGTGGATGTGTCCTTGTTCATTTAGCTTCATTTAGTGTTTCTGTTGTTGTTTTCATCGAACAGAACTCACTGTGTCCACATTTTCTAAACAGTCACATGTTGTGTTCCTCGCCCCCACAGCCCCAGCAGCCTGAGTCATGAGCAGCCGAGCAGTGGGAGTTTGACTAAGCGTGACACCGCCACTTTAAAAAGAGAAAGTGGGAGGGACCAGGCAGGACCGCAGAGCCACAATTGTAAGGCAGTGAGTGACGAGGGCCTGGAAATGGTAGAGGAGGCTTATTCTGGGAGCGACCTCACCAAAGGGCTCGCAGTGAGGGCCAGATAAGAGCAAAGAGACAGTGTGTAAACTCAACACTGTGACTCTGTGACGCTGAGGATGTGGGCCATAAGTGAAAATAAACATGGAACCATCTGCTCACATGCTACTCTTTTGTTTTTGATGCACTTGTTTTTGAGTCTCCCCTCCCTTTGCTCTCGGCAAAGTCACTCCCCGGTCAGAGCGCTATCACAACACCATCAATGAGCAGCCCGCTAATGAAACTACTGCACATAACATCAGTTTGTGAAGTTGTGGTATGTTGTTTTGTATCCTGTTTTGTATATTTATGGAGAGTTGTGTGGGAGCCTGGATGACGTAGGTTTGTGGGCAGAGAACTGGACAGAATCTTACAGCTAACCATAAGACGTGTTCGAAAAGGGCACAGGAGAGATTGCTAAAATACTCAAGCATGCATGGATGACTTCTAAATAGGGATACAACACAAGCTTTAAAGGTCCTATATTATAAAAAATGGATTCTTGTGAGCTTACAGTTCCCTCCTCAAAAACCTACCTTTAGTTGTGTTTACTTTCATTCACACATGTTTGAGTCATCCTACATTATCAGTCTGTCCACATCAAGATCAACATGCCTTCATGGAGACAGATACTACACTGTGAAACACTACAGGCAAAGCAATAACATCTCCATGGTGACAGGCAGGCGGTGGATCTTGAGCCAGAAAAATGACATAGTCCATCTTTCATTCAGTCGCCTTATCATGTGGAGGTCTGCGGAGGACAGAACACACAGACACTTTTCCAGAAGCTCGGGGTTCAAGGACAGAGCCGAGCAACACTCTGAATCTCCCTGAGCATGAAGAGCATTCCAGCAGAAGGAAGAGGGCTTTCAGTGGTTTGTTCTGGAAAAGGACTTCACTAATAACACTGGGGTTTTCAGGCTATTGGACTTTAATGCTTTTGTCAGAGCTAATGGAGCCCACAGTTCTGAGCAGTGACATCAGGACAGCCTCATCACACCACAGACACTGGCCTCCTCTATCCTATCCTCTATCCACCCTCCACCATCCACCCTCCATCCTCCTTTTTGTGGTTGTGTTTATTGAACTGAAAACTGCGTCCATACTGTGAGTGGACTTGCATCTCCACAAACCTGACTTCTATTTGGCCTGGTTTAGGGCCTTCTGCTGCTTGTTTCCATAGAAATGTTTTGGCTATAATATTCAACAGTGTAGTGTAAAACTCATCTTCTCCATGGAGAATGTTCTGGAGTATGGTTTTAACTTTCTGTTTCCATGGAGTCATACAAGTGATGTGATACCTCCAGAAAGTTACACAGTGTAGCTTTAAAGCTTAAACTCTTTCTCATTGACACATGTGTTTACAGGCGTTAGACTTAAAGGTAGCAGCGTTCAGCCTCACTCTGCTGCTGTTGCTAGGCTTGTTAACAGGACTCATGCGTTTACAGACAAATATACTGTTACTTGTGCCCTCAGAGGGAGAAAGAAAGAGCGACAGAGAGCAAGAGAGAGAGGAGGTGTGAGAATGTGCAGGAGGTCACCACATAATCCATCTCCTCCATGACAGAGGGGCCTGAGCCCTCAGACTGCAGCAGGGACACTGAGCTTTACACACACACACACACACACACACAGAGAGAGAGCATGTAGTACACTTGACTCTTCTTTTAGCTGCAAACCCACAGAGCAGGCTTTCAATGCATTTATAACATAAGTACTACTGTGAGAGTCGGTAGGCCTGTGCATGGTTCTGGACGTAGGCCTATAAATGTCTCACACACACATACACATCTGATAAGAATCCATCCGGACAGCTGTAGCAGCTAAGCATGAGCCAACTGCACAAACGCTGGTGACAGCTATTTTCAGTGAGTGTTTGCACCACAGTTAGCCAGTATGGAGTTATGGAGATGTGTGATGCAATACAACATGTCCGACAATTCAAACTGACAACTAACCATCAGAGAAGTGCAACAGCGAAGAGCCTCATGTGTATCATGATGTCCTCTGCCCCGGCTCCTCCCCTGCCCCTGGTTTATCACAGTTATGGACGAGAAGGGACCGGACTCTGTGGCTGCATGCAGGGGCCCACAGTGGCTCCACTGAGATCATTAAGAGAAGCACAATCCTCCAGAGACCAGGGGTCACACCGATCCCTCTGCCTCTCCTCTGTCCTCTCTTTGTCCTTCTCCTCTCTCCTCTCACCTGCTCACCTCCTCTCCCTTCTCCCCTCTCTCCTCTGCTCCTCTCTCTCTTGTCCTCTCTCTCTTGTCCTCTCTCCTCTGCTCCTCTCTCTCTTGTCCTCTCTCCTCTGCTCCTCTCTCTTGGCTCTGGGTAAGAGGACACCTGGTTCATGACAAGCATGATTTCACTTTCCGGAGGGCTTAGCTCTGCTGCCCGTCAGGCCCGTGCACGCTGTGCCCGCTGTGATGTACCACTTGTGGCAATCAAGAATGTGGGAGTGCCCCAGCAGCAGAGCCAGCAGCAGCAGCGACTCTGGTCCTCCAGTAACACTCACACTTAAGCACAGACAGAACCGTGCTGTAAGTAAATACATTACACACCTGACACAGCGCTGACCGAACCTGACCACTCTCCCGGGCCACTGCGGGTCTACCGTGTCACAGCGAAGGTCACAGAGCATTATGTAAGCGCTTTTAGGCACCTATAAATACACAGGACCCCCGGGGTGCCGCGGACAGGAAGGACAAACTCCACATTGACAGTTCATTGTGACTGTCTCGATCAGAAACAGCGTAACGCAGTGTGGATGAAAAGTGGCAGCACAGCTCCGAGCCACGGCTCGCCTACGCACTACGCTCCGCACTGACACCGCGCCGACAAAGCGCCCCAGATTAAGGCCAACTTATATAACTGTGTCTCCATTTGAGCTTTTGCGAAGCATGTGCACTCCACCACGCGTAATATGCGCGCTCTGACAAATAAACACGTCCTGTTTGGATGGGGTGTAAACGGCACTACCTGTTCCAGTCAACGAGTTCACCCAAAGTAAAGACAACACCACAGGCATGTCAGCAACTCCGAGAGCGGAGCGAGGCTAGCGCTCCTCCAGACCCGCGCTAGCGCCACTACCAGCCACTCAGTCACGTACACGAGAGCAGGGAGCCCGCTGGAATCACAGCGGCGTGCACACAACGCAAACACGACACACAGGCTGCGGGGACCTGACAGTCCGGAGTCCACGGCCGATGGCACGCACGGCGCGTCCTGCAGTGTAGGCATGCGGCAGCACAGAGTGCACTCACTAAACGTGTCATGTAACTCCGGTGTAACTCCGGTGTAACTCCGGTGTATTAGGCTCCCGGGCCGCGCTCTGTGCAGCGCCGTACCGACCAGTGTCCGGGGGGCGCCGCGGGCACAGCCGGCCCCCGCGCTCTTACCTCGGGATAGTGATGCATTTCGTGTTGATGTTTTGGGTGGTGATGGCTCGTTCCAGTTCGTCCAGTTGACCCGTCTTCTTGAGTTTCTTGACCAGACTTTTGACCGCCTTTTCACACCACTTCTCCTCTTGACCGTTCTGCTCTCCCTTCTTCCAGCCCAACAGTCTTTTAACGATGGGGGGAGTGAAAGGCAGGATTGACATCTTGAGTTCTACTAAGTCCGTCCGATGCCACAAAGTTGGACAGTTAGTTCCGAGCCCGTGCAGAAAACGTCCCAGTGTCCCGGTTCCGTCCAGAAACACGGCGCGCGCACAAAAGATGCTTTAGTCCTCCGTAAAGTGGCGCAGACACATCCCGAAGTTAAACCTCAACTTGAGCGCACTGTCTGTGCGGTGCGCCACGGGCTGGGGAGCTGAGGACGCAGTATCACTCCGCGAGAAAACCTAGATCCGTCTGCAACGTTAAAGCCTGATTTTAATAAACAGAACCTCGTCCAAGTTACACCGAAGTTACGAAACTCCACAAAATACATATATACGGCGCACACTTGTGTGACCTAATCCTCGTTTCCTCCGGAAAGCCTGGACCTATATGTTGTCCCAAAGTTGCACTCAGCCCTCCGCCGCCGAGTCCGCCAAGTGAAGTCTGCCAGAAGTCTGCAGCAAATGCAAATAGAGGGTCTGCCGCTGAGAGTCCTTTGAGCGGAGACGGACTGGACCTGTGAAAGGCCAGAGCCAGGCGCAGCAGCTGCCCAAACACCCCCTCCACACCCAAACACCCCCTCCACACCCACACCCCGCTCTTCGCTCTCCACACCCCGCTCTCCTCACCCCGCTCCAAGTGCGCTCATAAACTGGACTGCTGCGGTTACGCATGACCCCATCATGCTCCGAGCACACATTGTGCAATGGTAAATATATGCGCACTGAGTCAACCTGGTCATTTTTCACTGCAACAGCCGCTATTGTTGATGAAATAAACACACTCACACTATTAGCATCTTGCAGACAACTTCTGGGCTGCCCGGTCAGGTGGGAACATTTATTACTTTATAGTTCATCTGAGGGAGAAGAACTCACTCAGTGTGATGCACGTGTAAGCCAACTGTCAGCGTGCCAAAGAGGAGCAGGTTTATTACAGCTGCAAAGGCCTCATACTCCCTTGTCATAACAGAGTATAGTAATAGTAACAGTTATATTTGGACTTGCACATTAGTTTAGGAGGCTTCTGCATTCAAACAATGCATGACTATAGCACTTCGATTTTATTTTTAAATCTCTTTTATTTGTAGGCCTACTATGTGTAGACCTATTTATATGTGGGTGAAGCTGCCAAGAAACGTAATACTTTGACTGTGAGCCACTTGGAAACATGGAGTCAGTGTGTTCTCTGACATAAATCTCTGTGTGCTCTGTTCTGATGAGCTGCATATCTGTGTCCATAAAACATGCAGGGAGCTGTCACACAACACAGCCCCAGGACACACTCACACACAGCACAGACATGACCAGACCTGCCCTGCTCCCACACACACACACATATACACACGCACGCACGCTCCCTCACTACAAGACGCCCACACGCTGCTCCTGTCTGCTCCTGTCTGCCGCCCCATTCAAAAGTCAAGAAGTCCTCAGGCCAGGAGCATGGCTGACAGGAGCATGGCTGACAGGAGCATGGCTGACAGGAGCTCGCTGACAGGAGCAAGCCCAGGCTGACAGGAGCATGGTCAAGCTGACAGGAGCAGGCTGACAGGAGCAGGGCCGGACTGACAGGAGCAGGGCTTGGCTGACAGGAGCAGGGCCGGACTGACAGGAGCAGGGCTTGGCTGACAGGAGCAGGGCCGGACTGACAGGAGCAGGGCTTGGCTGACAGGAGCAGGGCCAACCTGACAGGAGCAGGGCCGGGCTGACAGGAGTGGGTTGACAGGAGCAGGCTGACAGGAGCAGGGCCGGGCTGACAGGAGCAGAGGAGAGAGTGTGGGGTTAGGCCTTTGTTGTCGGCTTCAAAAGACTAAACTTTATGGCCGTGCTCTCCTGCTCTAATGGCCGCACTTGAAGCACTCGTAAAGTTCTGGAGACCCGCCCTGAACAAAGCCGTGGAACACTCTGTGGGTTCTATTAGTGTAACGACGCCACAGCCGAGACAATGGAACAAACTGTTTCACTTAGAATGTGAGCTGGAGGAGTGAGGCCTTCACAGAACTGCCCAGAGTGACTCCTCCGAGCGCACCTCTTTTAATGTCTTTTTATACTGGACTTAAAAATAATAATAATAATGATACAAATAAATGCCATGGGATTTACAAAAAATGAAAAAGTTAAACTAAAATGTAGAAGTAAAAAGAAAAAGTAATAATAATAAATGAAAATAAACCACAAATATCACAAATATAAATTAAATGAAGTACATAATTCTATGTTTTGTTTTGTTTTTTATATAGTCTTCTTATTGTTGGACTGGACAATGGACAATATATATAGATAGAATAGACAGATAAATACTTTAATGATCCCAAAGGAGATTCCATTTTCAGCAGCAGTAACAAAGAACAAACATAATAGTAACATAACAGTCCAGTGCTGGGGGTTCTCCAGGATGGACAGGAGTTTGTTTAGGAGCCTCTTCTCAGTCACACATGTGAATGAGTCAAGCTCTGCTCCACTCCAGATCCTGTCTTCCTCACCAGCTCATTCAACCACACGGCGTCCTTCTTGAGGCTTCCTCCTCAGCAGACCACAGTGTTGGAGAGGACACTGAGATGACTGTCTGGTAGAACATCAGCAGGAGCACCTGGCTTACTTAGAAAGTACAGCCTGGTCTGTGCCTTTCTGTAGAACAGGTCTGTGTTCTCAGACCAGTCCAGTCTGTGGTTGAGATGTAGATCTAAATACTTACAATGTTGGGAAGGTTACTTTTAAAATGTATTCCCCTACAGATTACATATTACACACACCAAAATGTAGTTTGTAACGTAATCCATTAAATTATTTAAAGTGAGTAACGTAATCTGAATACTTTGGATTACTTGATTTGCAGTAGAGAAGCAAAGACTCGGAAATCTTCACTTAAGATCTTTTGTTTGCTACAAGAAAATGAAAAGCCCAGACTTTACTGAACCAAATTAAAAATATTATTGACAGAAGACAAGGAAACACGTCCACACAGCATGATTTAGTCCTGTTAAATCCTGTTTTAGTCCTGCTTTAAACCTGGTATTAGACATGATTTTGATCTAGTTTAGACCTGGTTTTAGTCCTGGTTTAGTCCTGGTTTAGTCCTGGTTTAGACATGGTTTTAGACCTGGTTTAGACCTGGTTTTAGACCAGTTTTAGACATGGTTTAGATCTAGTTTAGATCTAGTTTAGACCTGGTTTTAGTCCTGGTTTTGTCCTGGTTTAGACATGGTTTTAGACCTGGTTTAGACCTGGTTTTAGACCAGTTTTAGACATGGTTTAGATCTAGTTTAGATCTAGTTTAGACCTGGTTTTAGTCCTGGTTTAGTCCTGGTTTAGTCCTAGTTTAGACCTGGTTTAGACCTGGTTTTAGACCTGTTTCAGACCTGGTTTAGATCTAGTATAGATCTAGTTTAGACCTGGTTTTAGTCCTGTTTTAGTCCTGGTTTAGTCCTGGTTTTAGTCCTGGTTTAGACCTGGTTTTAGACCAGTTTCAGACCTGGTTTAGATGTAGTATAGATCTAGTATAGGTCTAGTTTAGATCTAGCTTAGACCTGGTTTTAGTCCTGGTTTTGACATGGTTTAGACCTGGTTTTAGACCTGGTTTAGATCTAGTATAGATCTAGTTTAGACCTGGTTTTAGTCCTGTTTTAGTCCTGGTTTAGACATGGTTTAGACATGGTTTTAGACCTGGTTTAGACCTGGTTTTAGACCTGTTTTAGACATGGTTTAGATCTAGTATAGATCTAGTTTAGATCTAGTTTAGACCTGGTTTTAGTCCTGTTTTAGTCCTGGTTTTAGTCCTGGTGTAGTCCTGGTTTAGACCTGGTTTTAGACCAGTTTCAGACCTGGTTTAGATGTAGTATAGATCTAGTATAGATCTAGTTTAGATCTAGTTTAGACCTGGTTTTAGTCCTGGTTTAGACCTGGGTAATCCATTTATTTCAACAAAGTAACTGTAATCCAATTACCACTCATTGAAACAGTAACTGTAACTGAATACAGTTACTCATAATTTGTACTCTGATTACGTAACTCTGGTACATGTAATCTGTTACTCCCCAACACTGAATACTTATAACTCTTTACAAACTCCACAGTGTGGCTTTAATGATCACAGGTTGCAACTGTGACCTGCTTCTCCTAAAGTCCACCACCATCTCTTTGGCCTTTGCAGTGTTCAGTTGAAGGTGGTGAGCCCTGCACCACACCACACAGTCCTCAAAGATCTGCCTGTACTCCTCTCGTCATCATTCCTGATGCACACAACATCTGTGTCATCAGAGAACTTGTGCATGTGACACAGCACAGAGTTGTAGCTAAACTCTGACATGTACAGGTACAGTACAGTTCCCTGTGGAGCTTCTATGCTGCAGACAACAGTTCTAGATGTGCTAAGTAAAACTAACAAATGACTATGACTGAAACTTAGGTTTAAACTTGAAAAAAACATATTCCTCTGTTTTCTGATCGATGTTCTAATGGAGTTTCCTCATCACAAACAGACCTGGACTTGTTTTATTTGAGTCATACATTTTTAACACACAAACCTTAGGATGACTTCTTCTCTCAAACTGAAAACACTCTGTTCCAACTTGTGATGTCATGTGGTAATACAGGAAGTGCTCCACTGTGTTTTTAAACCCCACACACCTTTACTAGAAATATTTGGATAATTTCAGCTTTGGAGTTGCAAATCTCTACTGAACTAAATGTAAAAGGAGCTACCACTACATGACATCACAAGGTGGAACAGAGCATTTTGACCTTTAGAGATGAAGGCAGATTAATAATAAAGAGTTACTGAAACATGTGAATGGAACAAAGCACACGTCCAGGTCTGTTTTTGAGGAGGTTAAAACATTCTAACACAGCTAAAAGTTCACATGAGTTTATTTTGTGTAAAATAGGACCTTTAATCTAAATACAAATGGAAAACCTACCTGGACTGTATTGTAACAGTGCTGGAGAGAGCGAAATAGTATTAAGTGTGGAGTAAAGATGGGATATAAAACTACATGGGAAGTATTTCAGTGGTTTAGTGGTGGCAATAAATAAATAAATAAATACATACATACATACATACATACATACATAAATCCTTTGTGCACCGTGGCTCTGCCCTTTTCTCTCTGGTCTGTATAAACACAGTATGTGCCTCGTGTGTGGACCACAGTTAAACTGGATTAAACCAACAGTACTATGTCTTTAAAGTATGAGTACACAAGTAGAAGGAAAGCAGCAATAGTGGCTCAGTAGGCTGTTTGCCCACTAACCCGGAGGTCAGTGGTTCAGTGTGAGTGCAGAGCAAAGCATACCACATAATGTTGTTGTGCCCTTGGGCAAGAGCTGGCGATGGTGTGAGAAGAGTAGCACAGAGCTGAGAGCTGCTTTTCCTCCGTGCACACTGTGGTTCCTGTGTTTTACTCCTCGTGTGCATGTATAGCCAAGCTCACACCACACTGACAGGTGCGGCCCTCAGTCTGGATGCTCCTGTCAGCCATTGGAAAGAGGATGAACTCTCATCTGAGTTTGTGGTTTTAGCCAAATGAAAATGC